TAACAAAGGACAGGCAGAATCAATAATTTCAACACTTTGACCAGTCAATAAGTAGTCTACAGTTCTAAAGGTGACTTTATTTTGGATTATGCTTAACTCAGTAGAGCAACCCTACAATAACACAATCTTTGCAAAATAATGGTTTACATACAAATTTGCACAACTTTAAAAGAACCACACATTGGGGTATGACAGATGTATACTACTTGAACAGTGGTACAAGAAAAAGAGGTTAATACCTGATCTCCAACTTCCTGTCATCGTACCCTTGTGCTGGGAACTACCACCCATTCAGACCTGATGACCAGAATGCTTTTTTCAGCTTAGTGGTAAAGTGTGTTGCAGATTTACACTTTCCATATTTTTTTAACAAACCTCCAGTCATTATGAACCTTGCTTCTTAAAGCATAAGTTAATCAAATTAATTGGCTAATTAATGCATCTGAGTAGCTGACAAATGCTCTCTAAGATGTCTAGACTTGACATGCAAATGCTCTTTCTTATGAGGAAATTTCCCTACTCTAACAGCAGTTCTCGTCTAACATTTCGTTCTCTTGCCAGGAAACATCATCCTTATTTTCAGTCTGGTTTGAGACAAATGTTCAACCATTGGAGCAACACTGAAAGATGCAAGGAACGCAGCCATGGGAAAAAGTCATTCAAGAGGGATGTGCTGTGTTATGGGACACTGCTGATAAAACTGACCAGTAAAACCAAACCTCCCCTGCAGTGCTTCTGGCCCCAAACCTGGGAGGGAAGATCTCACATTGGAATCAAGAGAAGCCAGCCTTTCCTCACCAGCGTTAGCTTCAGGAAAGAAATTGCAGGTGTATTCACTTCATTCTAGACCCAGTTTATATTTTCATGTTTCATGGGTGTAGAAGAAAAGGATAGGATTTACAAATCAAGAATTAATATGAGACCTTCTTTACTGTTGGGTTGTGTGAGGGACCGCATAACGTGGTTGCCTTTAAAAGCAATCCCTTCTGCTGAGCTCCTCCTTCTCCTCTGATAAAAGGTAGACTTTAAATACACAAAAGATCCACATGGCCTTCCAAGGAAAACACAGCTTTTACAGCAGCAGATATTTTGTGAAGTGAAGGATTCGGAAGTGATCCAGCAAAAGTAATCAAGTGAAACACAAAAAAATAAATCAATCTTCAGCAGGCAGGAAGTACTGATCTCCCTGCTTACAAAATGCATGTAATACGAGGTTTATTTAATGTGATATTCATGTAGATCCCATAAGGTAGATAACTTTTTATGCGCTGCCACACAGATAATAATGGTGTAATCACAAATATACATAAGTAATAATAAGAATAATAACTCGGAAGCAATAAACAAAGAGCATGTACAATTTATAATAAGTAACACTATTCAAAAAAAGTTGTCTTTAAAACTATTACAAAAGTCATCCTTTAAACTGAAATATTACTAAGAACAGCACAACAGCATTTTCAAAATCTACATTGCATCATCAATAATGTGTTACTTGAAGTCTTTGCTTGAGATTGATAACCTCAATAAAGCCAGCACACATACCATACCTTTGTGCAGTTTGCCTTGACACCTTTCTCTCATACAAAGTACAGCAGTTCAGCGGTAATGCATGCCTTTGTTTTAATATATATGTAACATAAGAATCACTTCACTGAGTCCAATTGAAGGTCTATCCAGTCCATTACACTGCCTCTACAAGTGGCCAATATCAGAGTTCTCAGGTATGAGCAGGGCAAACATCCAGCAGCTCTTTTTCTTAGTGCGCAGACTTCCTAAGCCAGAACTGTATCTTGCTGACTAATAGATTCTCCTTGTATTATCTGCTTAATACCTTTTTTTAACCTACTGACTCTCCAAGTTAACCTAGATGTTCTGCTGTCCAAACCTTCAGCCATCAGTTTGCCACGTGTAAAAGGAGGCACCAATCTGTGAGCATAAAGCAACACTGATCCATCTGTACAAATACACGGTTCAGAGGGGAGCAAGAAAAGCTGGAAGAGCCTTTGAGTGCATTGGGTGCTCATAAGAAAAAGCAGGCTGGCAATTGCATAATACACCTCTTCTGCCTTGGAGACAAAGAGGTTGTCTACAAATTTTACTTCTTATAATTAACTTCTTGAGTGTTTTATTGCAAGGCCATCATTGCCAAACTACCTCCTGCACCACTTCTATCATAATTGTACTAAAGCAGTAAACTGCTGCAGCAAAGAAGCGTATACTTCTTCAAATCTGAGATTTTTATACTGGTGATAGCAAATAAAGAAATGTCTAATGCTGTCTATAATGGAATTATCTGAAGAGACCAGATATAATGGTATTATCCGAATGCTGTTGATGAAGAAACATACACCTTGATGTGATGACCAGCAACTGCACTGACATGCAGCTTGGTGGGAAGGTGATCAAATTCTGTACATACATATGAACTGTTTTAGATCTATCCACTCTAAGTATCACTGATTAGACAATTCAAAGTGACAGGTATGTGAACTGGTCCATTGCTGTTGCAGGAGCCATTGATACACTTCTTTACATATTGTGCCTTATTGCTGCCTGTTCTGACTTGAACGCTCAAAAGATTTGGCTAGTAAGTAATGGTTGGTTTGGTTTGTTTTTTTTTTGCATCTGTATTCATCATAGAGACACTTGGAGAAGCTCCTACACTAGCATGCGCATTACAGGATCTTTCTCACCTGTAGTGCTTGTAGAGCAGGTGACAAAACAGATAAATTGAGCAGCAGATCTGCAGGGCCAGAGAATATTTCCCCAGGATTTCTGAAAGGAATGCAAAATTGAATTAATCCTGAATTATTCTTGAACTCAATTATCAACAAGTTGTGTCAGTTAAACTTCTCAGTACAAGAGCACAAGGTAGCTAACTTGACATTTGTAAAACAAGTTCCTAAAAACATCTGAAGATCTTATGTACTATTAAATCTGATGCCCATACCAGGCAAATTAGCAGAAATTATTTCAGATAATAACTTCAGTAGATATATGGGAGTTAAATGCAGAAATTTGCTACATGAAGGAGACTCAATATGTGTGTTTTTTAAAGTGAAATAATGTTCCACAATGGAGTTATTTAATTCAAGCAGGTAACAAAGGGAAATTGTCTCAATATGGTCTGCTGGGATTTTCAGCAGGCAAGCACCTGGGGCAGTGAGCACACCAGGAGAGGTAAAAAATGGGAATAAAATGTGAGTTTCTTGTACTGGAAGTACTAATTAAAAGCGAGGAAAGTAGAGAGGAGAAATAACTGTTAGCTGTGACGGTCTTGGACTATATGATCCATCTATGAGTTTTACAGAGAAGGGCATGGATGATGGGGTGGCAGTCTGTGAGGGTACTGTGCTATTCAGTATGGTAAGGTTTTATTGACCATGAAGAAACACAGAACAACATTATGGCACCAGATAATAGCAAGCAAATTTGACACAGATTGTGTAAAATGGTTGTTGTGGTTTGAGCTCAGAGGGCAACTGAGCACCATGCAGCCACTCGCTCTCCCCTTCCTCCACAGCTCTGGGAAGGAGAAAATAAAGCAAAAGGCTTGGAAATCAAGATAAGAACAGGGAGGGGTGACTGACCCGTTACAGGGGAAGGAAAAAGAACATAAATTTAATTCTAACACTAACAGCAACAACACTTAACAGAGTAGGACAGTGAGAAGCATTACCACCTCTTAAACACACCTTCCCCCCACCCTTCCCTTCTTCCAGGGCTCCAGCTTTGCTCCTGGTTTCTCTACCTCCTCCCCCCCAACAGTGCAAGAGGCAGGGAATGGGTGGTGCAGCCAGTGATGCCGCTTCTTTCTTCTCAGGTGGGGGAGACACACACGACTCCTCTCATTCTTCCGCTGCTCCAGCATGGTTCCCCTCTCATGGAAGACAGTCCTCCATGAGCTTCCCACAGGCTGCAGCTCTCCCCAAGCTGCTCTGGTGTGGGTCGCTCTCACATGTTGCAGTCCTACCAACACCAAACTACAACAGCGGGGGCAGCTTCTTCCCACAGAATCCCAGCCTTCTTCGGGCACAGCCACCTGCTCCAATGTGTGCTCCTCCACAGGCCACAGGTCGGCATCCGCTCCACTGCAGACCTCCGTGGGTGGCAGGGATGGGCAGCCCTGCGGTCTCACCAGGGGCTGCAGGCGGGGGGCACTGGCACACCTCCTCCACCTTTCTTCTTCTTTCTTCCACTGACCTTGTTCGCATAGCTGTTCTCCTCAAAACTTCTCCTCACAACTGCTACTCCTCCTCCCAGGTTCCCCTTGAATACATTACCACAGAGGCACAGCCACCGTCAGTAATTGTCCCCGGCCCCAGCAAGAGGTGGGTCCAACCTGGAGCTGGGGGACCTTCCAGAAGCTTCTCACAGGGGCCACCGCTGTAGCCCCCTTCCCGCTGCCAAAATCCCACCACTCACACATACCCAGCACAATGATACACAAGGGAAAAAAAGAATCCCTGGTCCATTGGCCATGACAGGCCCCAAACAGGCTGCTCACACACAGTCCCGTGAAAATACTAGCTCAGCAGCAGTACAGACCTATACTGAAAGTTTAGAAATTAATTGAGGAAAATAATAAAAAAATAATAATAATAATAATAATAATAATAATAATAATAATAATAATAATAATAATAATAATAATAATAATAATAATAATAATATGAAGTGTCACAATGCCACCCACCACAGCGCACCCAGGGTTTGAGTAACAATTTAGCATGTTGAGTACTGTACATGCTCTGGGACCAGAGGAGGCACCGAGGGGGCAGAGCAGGCAGCGAAAGCTCGCATCACCCTCCCTGTAAAGGGCAGGCGGCTACCTAGGGTAGCCCCCCTCCCCGAAAAGGGACGGCTGGGGCGCCGGGGGGGCCAGGGCCGCTCTTGGGGAGCCGGGCCCCGCCGACACCTCCCCGCAGCCCCACAAGATGGCGCCGGCGGCCTGGGGAGGGGCCGGGCGGGAGCGCCGCTCGCCGCGCTCGGCCTCACCGGAAGGGAAGGAGGGAGCGGCGGAGGCGGTTCCGCTCGGCTCCTCTGGCGCGGCGGGGCCGCGGGCTGCCCGGGTGGGTGCGGGGAGCGGCGGTGACCCTGCGCAGGTCGAGGGACGGGCAGCCGGGGCAAGCGGTGGCGTGAACGGGCAAGCGAACAGTTCGGGAGGGCGTTTTGCTTTCGGAGGCCGGGCGGGGGGGGGGGGGCGGTGTGTATGGCGACTCGATCGGCCGTACGGGCCCGGGGCTTGGCTTTTCCTCTGCAGAATGTCGGCCTCCGGCCTGAGGCGGCTGTGCGGGAGCTCAGGCGAGAGGGTTCTTCCGTCTGCCGGGGCCGGGGTGAGCCTGGGCATAAGGGCTTGTTTTCCTGCTAGCCCCCAGATTTAATTGTTTGCCCTAGTTGGTGAAGGTGAGAGGTGCTCACCGGTGTTGTGGTCCTTAAAGTCACTGACCAGAGTCCGGGCACGGCGTCAGTGAGGCCAGGATATTAATTTTCCCTTCAAAAGCAATAGTGTAGAAGTTTCATCCTCTTCCTCGTTTGTGACTCAGCTGACAAGCCATATATGAAATAAGCTAATAGGGGCTACTAGCAATTGCACGGCTTTTAGCACTTCACTTTTGACCTCTGATTTTTGGCCCAAATAGCTTCTGGGTTTGTGTGCAGGATCACAGAGGAGAAATACCCCCTTTTTGGGAGTAGCAGTGGGTTACACTGTCTCAGGCTCTGCTCAGGTCAAGAGCCACAATACATATGCTAGAGTTTGATCTGCATGCTTTGCAGTAAATGTGGATTATCCCCGCAGTGGACATACTTTTCTCTCGTGTAATTTGTTTCCCTTCCATTTGCAGGAATTGCTACTGTTGGTGTAAGGACGTTGCTGTGAAGACGTCACAGTGATAGGTAGGCCTCCGTAGCTCAACTGTCTCCTGTTGGGATGGTGAGCAGCCAGAACTGTATCCTGAGTGTCTTGTAGTTACAGCCATTCACAAACAAGAATGCAGTGTGTAGCGTTGGGAATTTTTACCCTTTCTTCTTTTTAAGAGAAATAGCTTGTACTGAAAATTGTCTTAGCAATCAGAGGCTTAAATTTCTGTGTGACTGTGACTAGGGCACTTCAGTATTAAAGTTAACAACATACACCAGCAGTGCACAGTATTAATCTGAAGCACGGAGTGTCAAAACATCTTTCAGACCTTTCCCTCGTCTGGTGGTAATTCTGCATCAAGAGTAAACATCAGAAGCATAAAATGAAATAGGTGTTTGTGGGAAGATGCACACTATCAGTGTTGTTACATGGCACACTTTTTTTACTGAACTCTTCAAATATTTTTGAGGAGTATGTAGTAGCCTGAGTTCAAAATACACAGCACAAATTGATGTCTAACACCTTGAATTGTGGAACTTACTGCCATGGGATCTTGTGGAAACAGTATTTATGGGTTCAGAGAAATGATGCGTTCTGTCTCTAAATGTTAAAAACAGTTTGGAGCTGAAAAAAAGTACCTAAACTGCCACTTGCTGAAATCAGAAGAAATGTACCTGAAAAAATAATTCCTGTATGTGTACTCTAGTGTTATATTTTACTGAGCATCTCTTACTACCCATTGCCAGAAGCTGGATACTGAGTTAGGGACACTCTGCCCTGACCAAAGGCGGCACTTCTCACAGGCTAAAGGAGTAGGGACAAAAGCAACAGTGGGATGTGGCCAGCTGTCTGTCATTTTGGGCATTATTGTTTTCAACATAGTTTGCTTTTTCAGGAAAACTTTATATAAATGGTTTTTTATTGAAATCTGCTGAATTTATTGAGATTTCATCTTCTTTTAACATCTTATATTTTTACTATAATACCATGCAACAGGTTAATTAATCTTGTGCTCATTGGTCTTCTGAAGAAAGTCAAACCCTCCTTGATCCTGCATTGGTAGGTCTTCCTGAGCCGTACCCGTCACCCCCAGTATGGCAGCCGAGTGGCAGCACTATATTCAACACACCACTAGAGGGGATTTGCTCCCAGAGTGTGAATTACATTACGAAGTTACAAAAAACTGTTTCATGGTTGTGTTTCACAGTATGACAGACATTGTCTCAACTTCTTTTAAGTTCAGTGGAATTAAGTGCCGTCATTGCTTTCATCAGATTTATTTATTTTTACTAATACTTGCTTCAAGTTGATAAGGAGACAGGCATGTTTTGATGAAAGGGAGTACATCCATATTTAATTATCAGTGAGGAAATGTTTTAAAACTGAAAAAAGGAAGTAATAACATAAAAAAAATAGTTCTGTCATCATTAATGGTCAGCATAGGCAAACAAATCTCACCATTTTAAATTCTGTACTTGCTGGTGAGTTTCATATCTTCAGTTGCTTCCATATTTCATTTTAAAAAGTATAAATTATAGAAGTAGAGTCATCACATTTATTTTCTGCTGCATGTCATGTTTCATATTTTATGTAGTTTGTTTTTGAAGAATAATTCAGCTGAAAATAAAACAAACTCATTCTTAATTTAGTGTCCTGGCTTGCAACGTCATTATGCATTACTTTGTAATCTAATGTTTCATAAATAATTTATGAAAATAATTTAAGTGGCTATGTTTGGCAAAACAGGTTTTTCATATTTGGTAAACTAATAGTTGGATAGTTTTGCCAGGGTTTTCCCCTTCCTTTCCCTTCAGAGAGCATATGTACATGCTGCATATTAATAATAAAGTATCAGACTTCACCACTTACTGCTTTTAAAAGTGGATTTGCATTAAGCTCTGAACCTAATTTCTGTTTATGCTGAAGCTAGTTCAAAGAATATTTTGTCATGTAGGAATTAGAGTGAACATGAAAATGAAATACACATACTTTTTCTGAAGTGGGAAATGGAAGAATTGGTTACTATGGACCTAGATTTTTAAGTATGAGAAGAAGATGTTATGGCAACCTTGACAGTATCCAGATGCATATGTGAAAGGGACAAAAAGTGTATGTGTATGTTGTGAGAATAGACATAAAAGTTTTGAAGAGGGCTAGCACGGGAAATTAGATGTTTGAAAAGAACAAAGAGGGGGGGTTTCAAGTGTAACAAAGAGTATGTGTGGGTTTCAAGCGTTACAAGTCTCTGCAGTGTTGTACAGTGACCTCAGCGCTAGGTTTTCTTCCTCCTCCAAGCAGGAAGGAGGGAATGCAGTGAACTCGCACACTTTGGTTGCCTAATGCCCGATCCTGCAATCCTTTGCTCGCATGAGTTGTCCCAATGATTGCAACGGGATTGCTCATGTACGTAGGGCTTCCTGTAGATAAGTTGGCGTGGCCAAGGGTTTACAGGTTTGAGCTTAGTGTGGGCTTTGCAAAGGACAATCATTTGTCTTTGTGGTAGCTGCATGATTTGCATTTTTTTTGAACATTGCCCATCCCCGTTCTTCTTTCATGCAATACAGTTTGTATTAAGAGGTGAAAAAGTTGCTGTTTGGTCAGTATTGTTAAATATGAGGCAGAACACAGCTGGTGTATGTGCTGTATTCATATGTATTTTGAAAAATCCTCGGTTTATGCTGGTATAAATCTACAACAGTTGTAAGTGCTGTCTTGGCTATCTTCCAGCCTTGATGGGAATAGCATTTGACCATGTTTTAGGGGTAGCAATTGTAGTTCAGTGTAACTAAGTTTCTGTTCCCTTTCACTGGCACTCACCTAAAACAAAGTTCAAGTTGAGGGTGAGAGTGTCAGGAGAAATACGTGGATGAAGCAGCTAATGTCTTAATGTAATAAAATAATTGTCAGGTAGTGAGGGGATTCAGAGTATTTCTCAGTGATTCATGATGGCAAATCACACTGAACATTTTGGTAATTATAAATCCTGCCTGGTGGTTGTAGATACTTTGTTCTCCCTCCCCCCCACATACACAACTTTTTTGTTGTTGTTTTTTTTGTTTCTCCCCTCTCCAGTTGCTCCTCTTTAGCCTTTTCCTCACATTTAAAAAATGTGATTGCAACCTGAATTGGCTTGTGTTTTCTTTATGGAAGGCAGGATCAGATGTCTAAAAAAAAGAGAAATAAAGTGAAAGAAGGGATTGTATGCAGTTATAAGTGCACCATAGGTTTAAACAGAAACTTTACCACTTGAATGGAGTTAAGTCGGGTTTAATTGTTTTATAATAATTGCTTCTTTTTTAGATGTCCCTGTGCAGACACCACTAAAAGTGACAACAGTGTGTTCCACTTAAGTTTATGATTTATGAATGGCATTAGTTTGGAAAACAAAGGTTGTAGAAGCGTAAAGGGTGGGAGAATATGGAAGAGAAAAGGTTAATGGGGAAAAAAAGTGTTCGGTCTCGGCATTTTAGGCTGGATTGTGTAGAAGGTTCCCTTTTAATCTTACTGTAGTGGGAAATTTTAAGGAATGGGATTTTTACTCATGCTAATCAAAAACTATAAATAAGAATCTTCAACTAACCACAACAGAGAAGAGATATTTAATAGATCTAAACTCAAGTTTAACAAAAATATATTCAGTGCTTGTGACCATCTTAATACATATATTTTTATGAATTAAAATGTTACTGTTTGCTTTTCTAGTTCATCTTGATCACCCGAACAAAATTCACAAGAGATGGTAAGCGGTCTTTATGGGTTTTTATGTGAAAACTTAATCACATTTTATGTACAAAATGCATATAAACACTTTCATTGAACTGTCAGTGCAGACATGTAAAAATTAGATGTGAAAGTAGCTAAATTGATTTGAAAATAGAATTCATATTACAACAGTGATTTGTCTACTTCTGGGAAGACTCCAGAGACATAACAGGAAAATAACAGAGGACTCTGATCATTTGCCTTAGATTTATAGCTTTTGTTTCCTTGAGGAAATCTCCCTATTTCCATTTATTTCGCAGCTGAAAAAGCACAGACGTAGAACTAAGACTTTAAAGTGTCCCTTTCCTTTTCCCTCTCCAATGTAAAACATATCTGTAATTTCTTTTTTAACAGATGTATTTTTAAAATTCAAATGTAAAAGAGGTTTTCAAGGGTCACTTTCAACAAAAAAGCCACAAAAAGTAGTTGGACAGGCACCAGCATCACAGTTCTGTCTACGTGAACTGGCCTTTTGTCTTCCTTTCCCCTAAATTAACAACTGGAGCTAGTCAGCTAGACACATTAGCCAGCTGGATTCCAGAGCTTTCAGTAAAGTCATCAAGGCCCTTTTTAGAAACATTTTAGAAGAACTGGAGATAATTTTTGAGCTTTAAAAGAGTATGTTGTCTTCTTTGGAAATACATATAATGTAGGAGATACTTCTTTAAAGCTCCATGGTGTTTCAAAACTGGAATTTAAAGTAGTGGAAAAAATAGACAAAATGTTCCAAAAGTAACCTCTGAATGTATCAGATTTGACAACAGGACATTCTCATCTGACTGCTGAAGGATGAGGAGTCAGCGTGACATGCTTAAGCAAAGCAAGAACAGTAAATAAAACATTGTTCATCCTAGCTTTTAGGTGGTTGGGTGATTAAGAATGAAGAAATTCCATATGGAAGGCAGATGCTTTTCTTGCACCCACTCATTTTAGGAATAAATACACTGAAATTCATGGTCTTGTAGCAGCGCGATATTCAACCAAAAAGAGAATTGGAATGAAATTTCACCTCCATGAATTGTTACTTTTCAGGGAAGATAATTTGTCTGGACTTTGAAATCATGTAGCTGAGCCCCACAGCCCTTCACAAATAGGATGGAGGTTTTGATCAGAAATATCATGAGGAATGCAAGTTTGTTGTGAGTTTTCTTTATAGACTCTATTAGCCAGAGATATTTTGTTTCTGAGACTGCTTACTAATGACTTTAAAAAGAGGCAGCATTTGTAGATCTCTTATGGGATAATGAGCTCAATTTTGCAGAAAGAAGGGAAACATGGGAGTTACAATTATTATTCCAAACTCTCTAGCGTTTGCATTATTGCCCAAGAAACAGAAAGTAAAAACAAATTTAAGTAAATGAAATTAACCTCTCAATATTGTTAGCATTAAATGGAAAGTATTTCATAGGTTTGTTTTTTCTGTTTTGTTTTGGGATTATATTTTTTTCCAGAGAATCATTCTTTTAAGGCTATGGAATGGTGCCAGCGCAGATCAAGAAAACACACTTAAAGAAAGATTTTTGTCTTGTATGCCCTTTTTTAAAAAAACACTAATAAAGGACTGTAAATGTCACATTCATCTCTGAAAACCTCAGCTAATCTTGCCATAGTTTTGAGTGCCAAAACATGGCTTAATTAAAATTCTTCCTATTTAAAGTACAGGCATTCAATTTTGGCCCAGATAAGAGATTTTCTATGGAAATTAAGATGTGGAGGAAAGAAAAAAAAAAAACATTTGCTATTTATTTTACGTATTCTAGGCTTTAGTTTACATTATGGCCTTCTTTTATGTCCTCTATTATCCCCTCTTATTGAGAGTAGGATGAGAAAGGAGATGAAATGGCCTATAGGAGGGGGACTTAAGGCTAGAGGGACTGTGGGGCTTTGTAGTTGCTGGTGAAATCTGAACAGTGTGAAACTTTTTTCAGGAAAACTAAGATTAGCTGAAAGACAGGAGAAGGTGTGTTACAGTATGTTTCATTCTATGCAGCTATTTTTCCATGTACTTTATCAGCAGTGCTTTATTACCCCTTTTCATACGTTGGTTGCTGATGAGTACAAAAGGGAGATTTACTGGCAGCTTGCACTTGGCTAAATACAGTCTTGTTTTTGATCGAGACCATGATGGATATATGAACTTGGCTGAATTGCCATTTGACCTTTTCTGAGAAACTTATTTTGGCAGGCAGATGGAGGAAATACATTACTGGATAAAATGAATGCCTTTGTTTAATATGGAGGAATTTTAATCTCTTGTGTTTTCTGTCTGCGGATTTGGAAATCAGGTGTAGCTTGTAATACATACACCTTGGAATGATTCAGTTCTTACAACTCACACGAGTGGCTAAGGAATTGTGGAATATATCCACACAGCATATCCCCTAAAAAGAACTGATTGCCACTGTAGTAGCATGAACACTCGGAAAATACCTTTTGGACACTAAAACTTGTCTATTGATAATTCTTCACTGATAGTTGTGTTGATGGAAAAACAATCTCTTACAGGAGTAATGAATTGTAGTATGCTTGCACTGTGTTAATACCTGTTCTCTTTCAGATCTATATGGTTTATCATAGGAAAAGTATGACTGATCATTAAAAGGCAGACTTTTTGCTTGCTTTTACAGTGTTTCTCCCCTCAATTACTGTTTGTTTTTTCTCTCTTCCCTGCTCCACCGCCCCACCCCGCTTTCTTTTTTTGATGTTCTTTCCTTTTCCCCCATGTTTTGCCCACAGGAGGACACTGAGCCATGGTATTCCCAGCAGGTGTACGCAAGATACTGGAAGCACTATGACTTAGCCATGCGCTGGATGCGTAGACACCAGAAAGCCTACAGGAAAGCCATGGAGTCCTTTTATCACCTACCATGGCATCCTTCTGCAGCCTCTCAGAGTAGCCGCTACTCAGATTGGGATGGGAATGATCTCCCACATACCCAAAACTATTCTTCCACATATAGCCGGCGTGGCAGACCTCCATACCATGGGGGAGCTCAGCAGCACACAGATGCCCACCGAGGGAGGGAGGATGCTGACAGGGACTGTGAAATGGAGGAGGACTCTGAGTCTGAAGGGGAGATAGAATATGACTTGAGTAACATGGAAATCACAGAAGAGCTTCGCCAGTTTTTTGCACAGACAGAGAGGCACCGGGAGGAACTGCGTAAGTCCATGCTTGTTCTATGTTGTCTGCTACTTGGTGGCCATAAGATTGAATGATGAATGGCTTCAACATTTACAGGTTTTGTAAGAGTTCACAGAAATAGGCACTGGCAGTGAACAAGTCAAACAGAATGAAGTAGCAAAACTGATGGGTGCACTTAAGTACCATTCATTAGAAAAAAGTCTCAGAAAGTGTTTGAAGGTTTTTTGGTAGGAGAGAGAGAAAATTATGACTTCAAAGAGAAGAAAAACACATTTGTCCAGAAGATAATATTAATGTTGAGTGCTGAAGGAAAAACTACAAAATTTTTATGGTTAAATTTAGTTAACATATTATATGTCTGAGAGGAGAACCCAGAGGAAGTACTTTGCTACATCACTGAACCCTTGAGTAAGCCTCGGTGTGTTTTATAACATGGAGCAGCCATTTTTTTTGTTTTTCTTTGGCTAACCCAACAGTGAAATTTCATGACCTTTTTCTTCTCCCCCTGAATCCCTAGGGTATTCTTCATTCTGTACTACACCACAAGATTTGTTTGTTTTGCATCTTGATATGGACCCAAGTTTTTAAGCAGGGAATGTAAGTCAGAGACTTAAGATTTTTTCAGGTCTTGATCCTCAGAGGTATTGGTCATCTTTGTTCCTGTGAAATCCTTAAAAGAAATAAAAGATAATGCTGTACTTTATTGACACTTTATTGTATATAGAAACGTTTCAGGCAAATCTATTATCTGTTTTAAGAAAGCAGCATGATGAAAATAACTTTTCCCACGTGACTCCAATAGGAAACGCCCAGAATGAATGTTTAATAGAGCTTTCTCTGAAAGAGGGAGATGTTCTAAAAAGGCGTAATAAAGGCCATGACTGGGAGGGAGAGAGAAAAATTGTGCTATGTTAAGCTCTTTGATCAGAGGGTATCCGGTGAGCTGAAACACCCCTGCTTAACTTCACATTTCCCATTGATATGATGCACAGGTGATCTAGTTAGCAGAAGAAAGTTAGTTGAGGAGCTCAGTGGTAGTCCCTGATATGCATTCCTTATTCACCATGCATTTGCAGAATCAGGTTGGTGTTCTCTGTTGAAATGTTCGTTTGAGGTACAGGATGCTTTAGGATGCTTGGCTGCTTCTGGAAATGCAGCACATTTTCCTTGGATTTATTTAGTCTTTATGGTTAGTGGTGTTTAAAGGTATGCGAGTGATTCAAGTGGTATCCTGGAAATTGGGAAATCTGGGCTCAGAGGTCTTCTCTGTTGCAACTATCCTCTCTGACCTTGGTATAACTATTTAATCTCTTTCTGACCCCTCAACTGTCTGCTTTTGCTAAAAATAGATTTGATTCTTTATGATGAACAGGTGAATTGTGAAGAAATCTGTGACTCAGAATACAGATTTTACTTTTGTTCCTTCCACCGTGGTGGTACTTGGAGCCTTTTGGAATAATTAGGTCTCTGCTGTGTGCCATGTACTAGCCTAGTTCTGGGTAAGAGTAACTACTTTCACTTTAGCATCGCTATTCTAGATCTTTGTGCAAATTTAAGCAGAATCTGGTATTTAGCTACTGCGTGCCTCCATTTCTTTAGTAGTTTCCCTGATGAAGTGAGATAGTAGTAGTAATCATCTGTAATTCGTCAAAGCATGAGAAAGTAAACAAGTACTTGATTTAATTGAAATTTAAAAGTGCCACAGAACTCTGTGTGAATGGTGCTATTTAAATACTAATTTTGTAATTAAAAATACAGTATTATCTCATTCAGAAATAATTTGTTATTGCATGGTGGGGGAAAAGGAAAATAGAATAAATTTTTAATTCCATTGAAGTTTCTCAGAAGAAGAAACATAAGCATCAGGAGGAGGGGAGAATCATTGCTTCCCTGATGGTGTGGAAGGGAGCTGGTATGGAGATTGTGATGAAGGTAGTACCACTCTAGGAGATAGTGTTATTAATTTTCCTGGATGCTGTTTCCAAACAAAATGAAATGTAGGGGTTCATTAAGCTGTGATCCATAGTGACACTGTCATGTTATATCTTTAATACTGTGCTGACAAAGGATTGTCATTCTGTATCAGTGCTCAAGAAGATGGAGATAATGCACAAAAACCCCCCACCGTTACTTAAATACTTCCTCTCTGATGCCTTTTCCTTTTAATCCCAAACTGTATGTCCTGGGCTCCCCTCACCACTTTAGGAGCAAATTTGTGGAGAAACTTGGGTACTGTAAAGCTCAGTAATGCCTGAAATTTAGGCGTCCGTGTCTGGAAGAGACATTTGTTATATGAAGGGTAAGAGTTTTAAATTTTCTCTAAACTGAGTTAGAATGTTTGGGTATGTCAAAGTGGAATGCCAATAGTGACCCTGATGATCAGTTGAATTATAAGCCAGCTGTTAGGGAATGTAAGGGGAAGGCTGTGTCTCATTTCCTTTCTCTGGCATAAATAGGGGCTCCAGGTGGAGTTCACAGCCTTTGACCTCTGCACCTTGATATGCACTTGGGAGAAGACACCTGGCTTGCTCTTGTTTTAAAATGAATGCTATGCAAAAGTTTGATATGTGTTTATTGGCAACTTACTGAAGTGTGAGACATGTGGGAGAAGAAGAGCAGAGGGACAAATACAAAGGGGAATTTGGCACATGAGGAAGGGGATACTAGTACAGAGGGTAGAGGTCTGATTTATCTTCATGAAGGATAACTTCCTTTAGTCTGGTGTTTTCAAGCCCTGAAAAATAAGGAAATACTATGCAGCATTAATGCAGTTATTTTGGACATGCTTAATGAGAGTCTTGGTTTACCAAGTAAGATATATCTGGTTCCCACACATGATCCACGTCTCATCAACATATAGAAGGATAACCAAATGGACCGAAATAAATCCTAGCTGATGTCAGACTCTTTACTTCTAATGCCTGATCTAGAGTCTGCTGGAGGTAAATGTGATCACAGACATCAGAGGATACGATCTTGCAACCTTTAACTGTGAAAGACTTCTATAGGTCTGAGAGGTAGGTGGGAAAGGCATTTGTGTCTGGATGGTGGCATACAAGCATTAATGCTAATTGCAAAGAGAAAATTTTCGAACAAAAGAAAGCCATCATGTCAGACTAGGCAAAGAAGAAACCAAGAAATGGAATAAGCCTGAAGTTAACTGCCACAAACTTGAACAAGCTGATTCCTGACTTCTGTAGTGATTTTTTTTTGCTTTGTTTCACAGTGGGCATTTGCAGTGATTGGCTGACTTGCACAGTAAAGCCTTCGAAACTGGCAAACTCTGAGCCTTGCTGCATGATTTAACACTTCAGCAGTGATACAGTTGTTCCCAAACAACCTCTTTTAAAACAATCTCTTTTTTTGTCTTTGAATTCCTGTCAAATTCTTACTAGTTTTTCTATTTATGTCATGCATTGCAGTCAAGTTATATGTTCCTGGAATGCCCCAAAGTAATTTTGAGCAGAGTTTTGCTGAGGCTGTATGAACTCAAACATGTTAATGCACTACAAACTTATCTCGTATTCTAGATACACAGTGCATTTGGTTAAAGTCCCTTACAGACAGTTTTAATTTCTTTCCTCTTCAGTTGTTTCTTCATATGCAATCATATAGAGATTCTGTTTTTAAGGCGGTTTTCTTGTCAGGCTGGTCTGTTTTTCTGGTTCTTCGTGTAACTGGTGATCCTAATACACTGTGCTTCTTGGGGATGTTTTTACTTGCATTTAAAAGTCTTTCCTCTGGCTGTTGAAAATCATGTAGTTATTTTTCTGGGTTACCATACCTGTCAGACCTAGGTAGTGTACTGAATTCTCCAAGCGTCCTAGATGTAAAGAACAGAATACAGTAAATTGCCTTTATATATTTGCAAAAACTAAAAGAAAAAAAAAAAAAAAAAAAAAAGGAAGATTCACAAGCCTAAAAATTCTGTAAATTGTCTAATTGCACATATTTATTACACTTTTAAATTGAGCCTTTGAAACATAGTTTGTCCTCATGCAGTTTTTCTTTGTTCCCTTTTTACATATAAGAGAAAATTACTACTGTAATTGGGCAAATACAGCATTGCAAGTACATTGAGAACCACTCTGTGGTAGTCAACAGGCAATGAGACAGTGTCCTTTATTTAAAAAAAAAAGGCAAAGTACCTTCCCGTCATTTCATTACCGAAGGATAATAGTCTGTCAATTGTTAATGCTATGATTAGTTTTTTCCATTAAGGCCTCTGTTTGTATTGCCCACATATACCCTCCAGCTTTTCCCAAAATAATGTTGTCTCAACTTAAAATTTTCATGCCAGATGGAAAACCTTTTTAAAAAAAATGAAAGGAAATGATAAATGAAGATCTTTGTTTCAAATCTTCAATTTGTAGGTTTTTTCCCTCGGGTTTCTTTTTCTCTGAAAGATGACAGTTGCCACTGCCTCTTCCGTGAAGAGGGAGTAATGGAATTTTCCATGTTTTGAAACTTGTTTGAATAGTACTAGATCCATGAAGGTTTTGGATTTGTTTAAGGCCTGTGTGCTTCTTTGGAAAATAGACTTTGATGCAGGTTTTTTGCCACCATGTTTTCCTCCTTTCTTTCACTTTTGGTGAATGCTTCTCCCTGTTCTTTCTCTGTCTTTTTCTCCATCAGACTGTAGTTCAAATTCTTACTCTTGGTCACCACCATCTTTTAAATTTATCCTTCCCTACCCTAAACTGTCAAAGCAGTGTGGATAGTGAACTTACAAATGTCTACTCAACTTCCTTGGCTTTGTCAGCCTTGTTGTCACATGAACTTTTACCACTATCTTTAGAAGATGAATTGCTGAACCTTCTGAGAAATATCTGTGCAACAGGTGCTCTCTGCAATATGTGTGGGTGCTTGAGAGATGGTTTTGAAGCACGTTCTTTTGTGAACTGGAGGAGAAATGTGAAAGGTTCTCCTTTTGTACCTCATCTCTGCTCTTGGTGATTGAACCTTTTATTGTGTAGCAGCAGAACCCTCTGGAGTGCACACCCTGTATCCAATGTAGG